GTGTTATTACCATGCCTGAACGGTCGGTCAGTGTTCTGAAGGAGTCCTGCGCTGCTCCGCCTTTGTTACCCCTTTCTCCCTGTGGTCTAGATACAGGCAAGCAATGGCCTAGTTAACTTTAAAAATAATCCACTAAACCAGGCCAGTGCCTCCTGATTCGCAGTCCCTTTGTTCATCTGAGTAATTGAAACCGACCCAAGATAAGAAACCCCACCAGAATAATTCCTAAATCACAGGACCGGTTAGCTGCACACATGTGGAAAAACATGAAATAATCCTGTATTCAGCCTTCGTTGTGCATTTGTCTCTGATGATTGTTAATTGTTCTTTTTGTCTGGCAGGTATGCTGCAGAACGGGAAAAAGTTTGACTCCTCTCGAGACAGGAACAAGCCCTTTAAGTTCAAGATCGGACGAATGGAGGTCATTAAGGGCTGGGAGGAAGGAGTAGTACAGGTAAGAGGGGAGGCAGCTTTGTCTACAAGCACTGAAGGGCTCATTATATGTGTCATCGATCATAACTACAGCTCCAGCTTCATTTATTCATCATTATCTGGTATGTTTAATGGGATCCTACCTACCAATTAGTTGCTATTCTTAAGGCAGCCAGCAAATGGTTGCTTCAACTGCCTCCATTGTTTTCTACATGGTGGCAGACAAGTCTGCGCTGTTGCTGGCTGAATTTTCCAGCTTCAGTTGGCAGCACACTGTGCAATTATGGCAGGAACTCCACGGAGTGAAACAATACATGAAGTGATCTTACGGGTGCTGAGTTAACGAAATAACACCTTTTCACCGACAGAACAGACAGATCAATGAACAGAAATGGTGTTGTACCATCATGAGTTTAAAATCTAATTATCCAGTCCGGGACAAGAAACTTTTATGATACTAGATGGCTAAACTTTCTAAATTAACTGTGTAATTTTGCCACAAGCCCACAGTATTTAGCTGCACGATTAGATTATACTGGGAGCCTGTGTTGTTCAGGCCAGCTGGATCAGGAGAGCAATGACTGCATTGGTGCTGGAGGTGGCTGGAAGATAAATAGGTAGATACTTAATTATCCCCGTGGGGAAATTCAACGCGAACTCTACAAATATGGACCTGTCAACACAGCACCAGCAGGCAGAAGACATTATGCAGTTCACATAATTAAAAGTACACACAATTAGGGGTAGTACATAATTAAAAGTGCAGTAAATAAATTTTAAAAAGCTGCAACCTCAGTTAAAAAAAATGAAGCCAATGCAGCAGTGCCAAAAAACTGCAGTTCCTCAAATGTCCACTTGAGGCTGGACTCAAAAGCGTCTCAATCGCAATAGACTCCCATGTACTTTGCAGCAGAAATAAAAAATATTCACAGCCTGGTACACGGAATGATTTTGGTCTCAAATGCTAATTTTCCCTGTACAGGTGTTGAAGTTTTCTTAAGTTACCTGACATTTGTGTAGCTCTGTGTGTGAGTATATAGTTCTGGAGGAAGAGAACCAAGAACTCAGGGAGACGTTTCTACGAATGGAAGTGAAGGAAAAGGTTCTAGAAGAAAAGAACAAAGAGCATTAAGATGTGAAGATAAAGGTGGAGGAGGCATTCACAGAACTTAAGAAAAAAAACTGAAGCAGGAGAAGAAGGCGATTGAGGAGGACAATCAGAAACTTGAGGAACTGACAGAAGAAGTGGAGGGAAACAATAAAGACCTCCAAGAACAGCAGGAGGAAGTGGAGAAAGACAAAAGGGTGATGCAGAACAAGGAGCTCGTCATTAAGAAAAGCAAAAAGGGGTTCTTCAGTTATTTTTAAAAGCACAGGAAAAGCAAAGGAGGAAAAGGAAATGGCAAGAAAAGGAAGAGAAAAGAGAGGAATAAAGAAAGAAGACAAAGAGAGAAGCAGGTGAAGGAAAAGGAGGAGAAGAAGAATACTGGTTGCTGAAGCTGGTTCACTAAACCTTCCATCTCCACCATCCCTCTCCCTCCACCTTACCTACCCTCATCCTCATCCCTTTCTCTCTCTACTCTCTGTGCTTCACCAAACTGTCCCCCATCTGTCACCCCTCTGGCCACCATCTTTCACCCATTTTCATTCCTCCATCCTCCACTATGCTCCCCCCCAAAGGGCAGCACGGTGGCAGCCTCCCAGAAACACCTCCACCTGTTTCTGTGTGGAGTTCTGTGTTCTCCCGCAACACAAGAACACAAACCATAGGCTCACTGGATACTCTACATTCTCCCTCAGTTTAGTTTTTAAAATGTAGCGACAGCTAAAATTCAAATAAATCAAATCAATCAAACAAACAATAACAAAAAAAACACATTTCTTCATGTGTTTGCTTTTATTTGATAAATTGCTGGTTGTTGCTGTGGGACAAACACCAGTGGTTCTAATTTCAACAGGACTAAAGGTTTTTGTTTTAAAAACTTTTTTTTCAGAATTTTTTTGTGATTTATGGCAGCATCACTGTGTAGTTCTATTTCTATCGGTTCTATGGTTGTGCTGTTTCCAGGAACATGCAGGACTTTGTATTGCAGTAAAAAAATGAGCCCACAGTTGGTAAAAATATAACAGAAATGTAAAGAAAATACTTTTTGGTGCTACATGAAAAAGCCCATTATCAGTCTGTTTTGTGTTTGTCCTGTGTTCCAGATGAGCGTGGGCCAGAGGGCTAAGATCACCTGCACACCAGATATGGCCTACGGAGCGACAGGCCACCCCGGGGTCATACCGCCAAACGCCACGCTCATTTTCGACGTGGAACTGCTCAAACTGGAGTGACTCCTGGGCGCCAAAACACCAAGTTTGAAGGTTAATGAGGCCGCATTCGCCACCACCTGTTCCCACAGGGAGACCATACCCGGCTGCTGCCTCCCACCACCATCCACCTGCTCTTCTTCTTCTTCTTCTTCTCGTTTTTTGATTTCTACAGTGTTCAGTTCAGTATTTAAAGTCCTGCTGCTTGGTTGCCATCATGTCATAATAGATACAAATTTTCACATCATGCAAGACTTTTACACACAACACTTTGGTTTCTGTTTGTAGAGATGCTTTTTTTTGTTGAATTTAATGTTGTACATTTTGTTGAACCAAGAGGAAATCTGCCACCCGATGAAAAGCCGTACTACATTGCAATCCAAACATAATACTGCCTTACAGTTTGAACAACCTAGAGGAGGGTACACGTGTCGAAAGTACAACGTTTCTGCTCTGTATATTAACTGGGCATTATATACCACTGTCTGCATTGCCACTTTGATAAAGGCTTGTCCTGCTGAATGCTCTGAATGATGTTGCTATGTTTAGTATATTTTATAACCCTCATGAACATTTACTGCGTGTGTACCCTGTCAACCTTAATCCAATACTGTACAGAACTCGATCAGAGCCATCGCTACTATGACAGTTTATTGACCAACTCTTGAATAAAAATGGCATGTACTGTGTTGAAAAGTCTGTGTTCTGTGTGGAGCTTTTGAGACTGAATGCTGAATGAGCTTCTGCAGCAACATTGCCCCCACATGGCATGTTTTTTTTTTTATCAAATTGCAGAGAAGCCGAATCAACTGGGTCTGAATCCCTCATACTGATCATAATGGAAATTGTATCTATCAATCAATCAGTCAGATTTTATTTGAAGTGAAATTTCTCGTACACAGATATCGGGGGCCTTATTTAATATACAACTCTAATATAAAATAAAAGATCCAGACACACAAATAAGAGACTTAGATAACAATGGTAATAGAAATGTTAAAATGCACAGTTAGTAAAATAATGAAAACATTACAGCATCTAAAATGTAAACGAAACAAATGAAGGACTCCTTAAAAACAGAGACTAAAGAATTGAAGAAATGCTTTTGGATAGAAATGTAAAGAGCAACACCAGAAGCAGGTTAAGTCAAAGAACACAAGATTGGGAAAGCGTGGTGTTTAAAGACATAAAATAGACTAAGTTGTACAAATAATATTAACAATATGAACTTTTTAAGATATAGAACCATTACAGTACTACTCAGGAAGACAGTTTTAGAGATAGAAAGCCAGTCTGACTCTTGCAACTGTAAAAGATAAAATAATAATAACAATAAAATTAAAAGAATAAACACCAATTTTCAGATGTAAACCTCCACTTTGGAATAGTCACAAGGGCAAGCACTGAAGGCTGAACTGGCTCATGTGGGGTCAGAATTTCTGGTGTATAACTTGAGGCCAGACCCTGACAAGCTTCAGATGTGATCAATAACCTTAAAATCAATTTGTTAAAGTAGGCAAATAAGTATAATGTAAATATAGGACTATGAAAATATATAAACAAGTATCAGAAGTATAGTAATACATATATAGTGACCAAAAAGCCATTCAATATAGTTAATTGTAAATTCTAATATTTATGTGCATGTTTTAGTGGCAGTGGCCCCAAACAGCTCACAGTGAAGCCAGAGGGCTACAAACACAATAATTAAAATGCAGCTACATTGAGTAACAGTACTACTTTTCTGTCAGGAGCTACTTCTAACAGAAAATGTTCACACTGATGTTGTAGCTATTCAAAGATCAGGTCTAATTGTCATTAAAAAGCATAATGTAATGCATGAGCTTCATCAACAATTTGAAAAATCATAACTTAGGAAACCTTTATAGATGTCAAAATAATTTAGGAGTACAGAAAAAAAAAGCTTATCAGACTGGATATGAGTTGGTCTCTAATGATTTGCTGGAAAAATGAATTAATAGATATTTTTTTGTTACAATATGAATATTAAATATATAAAAGTAAGCGTATAATAATATTTTTTTTCTACAAATACAAGGAGCTGTGCAATATCAGTAGTTTCCTACATGTAGAGTAACTTTTCTGCACCACTGATCAGTGGTTGTTCAACATATGACGAAGAAGAGTTGTTGATCTCTACGACGCTCAACAATCTTGGAGGCAGTATTTACTTCCGGTATCGTAGGTTAAAGGTCACCCTGTTTCATTCTCGCAGCTGATTGGCTGATTCTCAATGTTATGAAACCTCATTGGCTGTTCGGCCACACGCCTGCTATCAACCTGAAAGAACACAACAAACGACAAGGTCAGAAATTTGTCATAAAACATACCAAAATACGTGCTGTGAAACTTACACGACTGCTTAATGTGTCACGTAACGAACACCGTTTCGTTTTTTGCCGTTAAGGCTACCGGTTGCCGCTATTAAACATCAGCAGTTAGCTAAGTTGCTAAGTGTTTAGCAAGCTAAATTTTGCACGTTTTGTCTTTTAACCGTACATTGGTGAAATTGTCACTAACTTAAAGTCACTTGTAGCGATTTGATCACCTCATGCAGCTGTGATTCAATGAGAAGTGCTCTTGTATTTGTATATTAGAAAGTCGGTCACCTGTCATGCTAAACCTAGCTAGCATTTTCCTTGTCTAGTTTCATAAACGTCATTAAACAGGTGAGATTATACGTTAACACACACAGTGGTCAAATAATGTTAAACATGACCAAACTCGGATTGTATTCACCATGTCTAATTAGTTGAGCAGTAAATTACTTTTGCAGTATTAATGAATGACACTAGGTAAAGTTGTTAGCACTGACAGCCCCACTGTGTTTTGTTTTTATTTCTGCCAAGGAGTTTGACACATCACATGACCTCTCATTCCTATGATAATTATTCACAGAAATAATCTGTAGAAAAGTTATGAGCACTTACTCTAAATATTACTGAATTTACAGTATGGACAAGTGTAGTATCCAAATAGCAGGCCTTGAAATGGTGTTCTCTAAACACAAGTGAACATGCTTGTTTGGTACAAACTGCAGCAAAAATAATCATCATGTTTATATATTTTGTACAGCCCTATAGAAATGGAAAAAATGAACATTTGCTCTCCAATTGTGACTCATATTGCAATATCTGTTAAAATAATCACTAGATTTGCACATTCATTCAGTCCCACTGGCGAGTAGTTACATAGTAGCAGTGGATAATTTCTCTTTTTAAAAAAATGCTGCTTAAATTATATTAATTTCTCGCAGATGGAGGTCTTTTGAAGTGAAGTCAAATCACTTTTCATTCTGTTAAACATATAAAATAACACTACTTTGCCCAAAGTGTTCTCCAACAGAATAATAAGACCCCACAACATGATAAAGGGAAACTGGAGCAAATCCAAAGATTTTCTATGAGCGAGCGCCTTGGTAACAGTGGAGAGAAAGAAAGAAGAGACCTCTATCAGAATCAGGCTCAGGGAGGGCAGCGGTCTACCTCGACTAGTTAGGATGAAGGTAGAGGGGAGAGAAAAAAAGAATCACTCAGTGACAAACTAACACCCTCCAACCTATTTTCACCACCTCATATTTGTGCCTCCAGGTTCTCCATGTGTGTCTGACTGGTCCAGCAGTAAGCATGCTGACTGCACAGAGGGCATGTGCAGCGATGGCTGCCGGGCGCCTCATTAGAGCTTCCGTTTCCTCATCACACACACGCCGATCTCTGATCCACACTTCAGTGTCGTGTCAGGACCAGGTGGAGCTGCATTCCGAGTGGGCCAGCCTGGCTAAGAAGCAGCTCAAGGGGAAGAACCCAGAAGATCTGATCTGGCGCACGCCTGAGGGAATCAACATCAAGCCCGTGTACACCAGAGCAGACACAGCAAAGAGTGCTGATGAACTGCCAGGAGTGTTTCCCTACACTAGAGGGCCCTACCCCACCATGTACACGTACAGACCGTGGACTATCAGGCAGTACGCCGGCTTCAGCACTGTGGAGGAGAGCAACAAGTTCTATAAAGACAACATTAAAGGTAGATTTTGTTGTCGTGTTCATTTACAGTTTTATCTCACACTACAAGTGAACTTAGAATAAGACACACAAATACCATCTCAAATAATCACATTCTTAGAACATTTTCTGCTCAACGAACTCTGATTTTCCTGAAATTTTTAAAGCATTAAATATAGATATTTATAAAGATAGTTGTGAATTTTTAGTCTGATATAGTAAATACTTTCCAATGAAATGTTTATTGAAAATAGAATCGAAAATCTTGGGATTTAATGATGATGATGTCATCCAAACATAGCCACAGAGTTTCATGTGCAAAACAATGTGCTGAAAGGGAGTAGACTGGCAAAGAAAATAAAATAAAATAAAATCTTGAAAAGTACTTGCTATATCAATTTAAATTTCACAGATAGCATTTTAAATGTCTGTAGATATTTATGAAATGTTCCAAGCAAATCAGAGACGATTGAGCAGAAGATTCCTGATGATTTGAGATTAAAAAACCCACAAGGACATCATCAGTTTCACCAGTGTCTCCACCACTCTAGATCTGTTATCTTATAAAGACAGAATTGCCTTTTTGTTTACTTCTGAACATCGCGTTGAGCAACACATGAAAGCTCTAAAAAGTGAAGCCATCTTTATCTGGCTGTTAGATCTCCCTCTGACCCGGCAGTTTTAGTCAGTGATGTGATTGTTCACATACAGTTAGTCACTCTGTGTCGGTGCAAATTTGAGAGAAATTGTGCGCCACTTTACACTTGAGTCTAATGAAGGAAAAGCACACACATCCCCGAGGCCCACTGGGTTGGGTGCTGGATCACAAAATGTCAAAAATGAGAAAAGAAAAGAAGAACGATCCGCACACCAAAAACAGGCTCCCTTATACAATTTATTGGCGTGACGTTTCGAGCAAAATGCTCTTCCTCAGACTTCTTTTCTTTTCTTTCCCACTTTACGCTTGAGCCAAACTCACAGTAAAAAGGAATATTATACTATAATAACTTTACTCATATTGCACCTTTGTACTACAAAGTGCTGCACAAAGCAGACATTAATATCCAAGGGGGAAAAAGAAGTGACGATAGATAAAATGCCACACAGACTAGCAGTAAATTATAAAGAACCTGCTTAAAATAACCACAAAAATGACAAAGACAGTTTTCAGTTATGGTATGAAGGAAGATGATTCATTGCCAAGCCGAGATCCTCCGGGAGGGAATTCCACAGCTAATGGGAAAAATCAGCAATGGCCCTGTCGTGTCTGCTCACAAGGCGGCATTCAGCAATAGTCAGAAGGTTCCTGTTGGAGTATCTCAAACAGCAGTAAGGCTCATAAAGAGTTAAAAGATTACAAATGCAACTTGGTGGCATGTAAGGCTTTAAAAACAAGCAATAAAAATCCTAAAATGAATTCTGCAACTATCTGGTAACAAGTAAAGGCCAACGCAAACAGACATAATGTGGCCACTTATCCTGGAGCAAGATAAATGCTGAGCAGCATCATTTTCCAATAATTGAAGCCTGTAAATGTTTTCCTGTGCTGATGCTGGAGTAAAATGTGTGACTGAATTGAGTCTAGAGGTGACGAAAACATGAAGGAACTTTTCTTATTCGGAAAAAAACCTTAGAGACAAAACTGTGTGATCTTTTTCCCTTTAGCTTTAAAAGATAGACTTAATTGAAAAAAAACTTTGAAATTCTCGACCTCTTTATTAACATACTAGAAAGTACACTTTGAGTTATACAGAATAAATAAAAACTCAATTTAAAGAGGATTAAAAGACTAAAAGAACTGTGATATTGTAGGTTCATATGTATGCCATGTAGATTTTGTACGTTTGAGCATGTGCAGAAGCTGCATGAGAAGTTTAAACTTTTTGGAGGATCATTACAGCTTGCCAGGGTTAACCAGAAAGGCTGAGTATTTAAATATACATTAATTTCATTCTAGTAAATTTGCCCTTTCTTTATTGCATGATCAAGGCTGAAATGCAACAAATGAGATTACTGGAGAAACACTAGTTTGCTAATGCTTTAATAAGTAATTGCGACGTGTTGACCTTTGCTCATAGTCAACAAAAAGAGAACATAAAGGTCCTTTTATATGTCAGAGTTTACAATATAGTGTTGTTCCAGTGGGGGCTTCCAAGATCGTGGTCTTGTGGTTAGCTAGTGACTGGAAGCAGCGCAGTCTTTGCTGAAGTCTCCCTCTGTTAATCGCTGACCCCTTCATCGGTGTCACATCACCCTTATGGTTACTATATTGAAACTGGCCACACTCGCTCTGCAGTACTCTGTGACTGTGCACCTATGACCTCTCCTCACTTGGCTTCATCTCCTTCATCCGCTACCTCTTTGGCTCTCTCATTACAGCTGGACAGCAGGGTCTCTCTGTGGCCTTTGACCTCCCGACGCACCGCGGCTACGACTCGGACAACCCCAGAGTCCACGGAGACGTGGGCATGGCTGGAGTGGCGATAGACACGGTGGAGGACATGAAGATGCTCTTTGATGGAATCCCGCTGGAGAAGATGTCGGTTTCAATGACAATGAACGGAGCAGTTATCCCCGTGTTGGCCATGTTCATCGTGACCGGAGAGGAGCAGGGCGTGTCCAAAGCCAAACTGACCGGCACAATCCAGAACGATATTTTGAAGGAGTTTATGGTACGCAACACCTATATTTTCCCTCCAGAACCTTCCATGCACGCCATCGCAGACATCTTTGCGTATACCTCCAAGGTATGTACCACAAGGTTAACCAAAACCTTTTCACTTATGGTGCTTACTCTACATTACAGAATATTAATACAACTACAACTGAAGTGATTTCCTCCCTTTACCCGGTTCACAGCACATGCCTAAGTTCAACTCCATATCCATCAGTGGCTACCATCTCCAGGAGGCTGGAGCTGATGCCATCTTGGAAGTAGCCTACACCATCGCGAACGGCCTGGAGTACTGCCGCACTGGCCTGAAAGCTGGTTTGACCATCGATGAGTTCGCCCCAAGGTACAAATATGAACTTGTTATGAAGTGTCGGTAAGTGCAGAGGAGACCAGGTTTGATCTGCACATTAGTAGTTCTGACAATAAATAACATTTAGAAAGATGTATTGCACATTTAAACATGTTTATGGAGCTCTAACTAAATGCTATGACTGTGATGAAACACATCAGTGATTGTGCTGATATTGACATTTCAACCAAATTTGCGATGGGATACAACATCTTCTGTTTTAAGTCATTCTGCACCTTGTCAGGTGAATGCTTACATAAAGTCAACAGAACTGTTTGGAACTTATTTAAGTCATACAGTTTAGACTATTTTTTAAAACTCTCTTAAATCAGAGGTGTTGTGTCTACCTGCTTCAGCTGCCACTCCTGAATGTAAGTCTGTGAAACTACAATCATTTTTTAATTTGTTAGACACATTGACCAGTGTTTATGTTAGATTTTGCCACTGACGGTACATAAAGATGGAGAAAAGATGGATGCCACCCATAGGTTTCCTGAAAAGCAGTTTTGAAAGTTGGTGTGTTGGCTCAGGTTGTCGCCTGACTCCGGCTAACTCCTGGCTAATCCAAAAATTAGCAAGAAGGTGTAGTGTGAGTGGACCTGAGGCAGGCCATGCAAACATCTGTTGGTGATGGACCGTCTTATGACATCACCTACCTGCTCCCAAAGGTGACCGTGCCATTAGTTTTGCATACCTTTAAACCTTAATACAATTTAAGTAGGGGAGTTGTATAAAAATGAGTGCCCTCTACAGTTGATATAAAGACAGAAATTTGCAACAGAGACCATCACGCTTTTTGTACCAGGTTGTAAACAAATTCATTTCTGCTGTTAAGTTGGACATTTTAACATGGGGTTTATGAAGATCACCTCCCTGTTGAGCCTGCCTCATGTGGCCGTTTGAGGAACTGCAGTTTCAACACTTCCACACTGGCTTTATTGTTCCGCCTTAGAGGTTGCTGCTTGGTTTTTACTTAGTAATTGTTCGTTTTGGTGCATTTGCTCAGACCTGTCCCACCGAGGGGAACCTCATCCTATCCTCTAGCTAACTAATGTTATATTACTGCTCAGTGACTTCCCCCATCCACTTTTGCACTTGTTTCTGCTTCGGGCTGCAACCAGCAGCTTTAATTCATTCCACTGTGGACCTTCACTACACTAATGTCACGTCAAAGGATTGTCGGGGGGGAAACATCCTTTACCTCACAGCAGCCCTGCAGTGTTGCCATCAACGTTTCCCAAGTTGTCCACAAATGAAACAAGTAGTGCTGAATACAAACTGATCCTTTCGGGGGCGATTGTGTGTAAAACTGCAGCTAAAAACAAGCTTAAACTCAAGAGATACGAGATGTCAGCCGTGACACCTGTACCTGACATGCGACTCAGCTTTTAGCGCCCTCAGTGTCACTAGTAGTGCTTGAATCTGACAGTAAGTACATTCACTTTACACCTTTATTTATTTATTTATTTATTTTACAGAAGTGTGATTTTATTTTTTTTTGTTCATCCGCTCCACACCGACTACAGAAGCTTTTTTTTTTTCCTCCCTCGTACATTGAAGTTAATGAGCAGCAACATCACCTGCGTAACGACATGTGGGCTTATGTTAGACAGCAGGAGCTTGTGCATTCAGTCAATAAATACCCACTTCAGTGTTTCACTCAAGCACTAAATGAAAGTCCCGAGAGGGAGTCAGTACTCCCACATGTTATACAGTAGCCCTATATAGCCTTTTATTAATATGCTACTGACGCAGCATGTTCGATGTTTGATTAATGCATAATGACGGCCACATTTGACTGTCAAACCAGCAAATTGCTAAGACTGAACTAGCATGATATTAAATGGAAAGGCTTCTATACAAATCGAACCATATATATACAAATATTTACCCCTGAGCACAACTATTACTTGCTTCTTCAGGAAAATGAACAAAGTTGTGAATTAGATTCTTAGTATTACCCAGAATGCATCTTTTACATGGGATTCTGTTTGGTTTCGTCCACTTGTTACGATACATTCCTTGGAAATGTGGGTTTTTAGACATATTTGAACATTTGATCCTCTTTGAAACACTACAGACAGATAACAGTGGTACACTCAAACAAAGAACATGGAAAATTTGAATGAATAAACAGAATAATCAAATGGAAAAAGTACCCCCCTACATTTATCAAATCTTAAAATCATGTATTCCAGATTAGGTGCCAGTGACTACAACATCTTTAGTTAAACCTCTGACATCCAGGCTTTGCTGTTCTCTTTGCTGTTGAAGTGTGTGTTGTCGTCATTCCGAGATCCAAAGAGCTTTTCAACACCTTCAGAATGAAGACTGTGGAGGCCTATGAGTCTGGCAAAAGGATTTCAGATATAAACCTTTTATGATTACCAATATGTCCAGGATTGGCTGCCCCATCAGATTCAGCCCAAGATCTAACCTTCAGAAGATTTCATAACAAGATCTGCTGGTAACTCTGCAGCTGTTGCCTTCAAAGTGCTGCTTCTACAATCATTAAGACATTGTACAAATTTGTAATGCATAGAAGGCATGTTGAGTAAAAAACCACAACATTGCTGTCCAAACAGAACACTTGAACAAAACTACAGTTGCAGTAGACATACATGGAAAGACGTACTCTGAACAGACAAATCGAAGGTAAAGTCTGACAACAGTAATAGTAGAAAGGTTGATCAGCTTTTTAGGAGAAGAACCTGTGGTGGACGATGTTGGTAGAAATATTTCAATCAGACACTGAGCAGGTTGCAGTCAGCGAATTCACAATCAGTTCTGCCTCGTACCAACGAGTGCCTAACGATAATGACAGGCCATCGGTCTGGAAGTTAAGATGTACCAGAAGAGGACTTTTCAATGGGATAATGATCCACACAGCACTAGAAAACCCACCAAAGGAATTGCTCAGGAAATGGAGGGTTGCGGAGTATTGTTGTCAATGCCCCAGATTTGAATCACACTGAAATGTTGTTGGAGGACCCGAAAGCCCTCAAACATCTCGCATCTGAAGGAGTGTTGGATGCAAAAGTGTTCAACACTGGTGGACAATTACACCAAACACAAGTTATTCCTGCTAAAAGCTGCAACACTCGCTCCTGAGGGCAACTGAACTTACATTTTTTGAGGAGAAAGATATTTTTATTGAATAAATTAATATATAAAAGCTAATTTTCCTTGTGCCATTAGTCACGTAGCTTTATTAATAGGTGCTATTTTAAAATAGAATCAAATGTGTGCCTCTCAAAAGAGCCAACAGTGTCGATGTTATATGGAGAAATTTGTGTTTTTTGTTTCCCCTCTCACAACCGAGTGGATTTTCTCTTTTTTGGGCAATTGCATGTTGCATTTAAGGAAGTCAAAGAAGATCAGGTCCACATGTTGTAGATTTGTGACCAAGAATACAGTGTTTTGATGATTTTCTGCACAGTGTGTGAGATGATGTGAATTTGAACAACTTCGGTATGCTGCTTTTCAAAATCCCAAAAGAGCTGCTCCTCAGTGGCTTTTAAGGTAAAGCAAATGGTCGCCATAGCCGGTGTACAAATCAGTTCGACTCTTCAGTCAATAATAGAACTCCACCGCTGCACAAACCTCATCCCCTGTTCAATTCCCGTAACCTGCGTTGCACCTCCATTATCTCCTCTCCAAGTGTCCCCCAACTATTTTCTGCTGCCTTTTCAATTACCCAGGTAATAGCGGAGTTACATGTGCATCCAATTTTCAGGAACATCCTCAGAGCCCTGTCCGTCCTGACCCTTCTCCGTGTGGTGACGTCAAGCACAGACCTTTCAGACAGATGCTCTGAGTCATTACATAGATGTCACTCAGTCGTGTGAACAGGAAGGTTTTCCACACCGACCTATTATCTGTCGTTACAGACGACTGCCCAGATTTCTTGACTCACGACCAACATTTGCCTTTGCGGTTCTTCACTGTTTATTTGCCTTTTTAATGCCTCTTTGGTAGACTTCCCATGCACTGTCATGTTGGATTTTTTAAGAGGTTCTGTAGTACAGAAAGGGGCAATGGTTGTTAGTTTCTATCATTCCTCTAGAAGGGCACGTATTTCAACTGAAAATCAGAAAAAGTTGGGATTGAAAATGACCTGTAGGTCATTGAAAACAATACAACAGCACAATATTTGGTATAGTTTTTATTCAATCTGAATTCTTGCTACATATTTCAAAAAAAATGTTTGGACAGCAAACTATTTACCACTTTGTAATGTTGCTTAAACACAAGACAACAACTAATTAAGTGTTTTTAATATCCCCCCTATTCTTTCTACATTGAAGTCTGAAGGTGTGCAGCGGTACGTCTTTAAAATGCACTTCACGCTCTCTCGTTGGGACAAGTCTGGACTGCAGATGGGCCAGTCCAGCATCCTCTTCCAACACAGCCTTGGCTTTGTAATGTGCGTAGAATGCAGCATCCTTGGAAAAGATGTCGCCTTGAAAGCAGCACATGTTGCCCCAAAGTCTCTTTGAACATTAGTGGTGTCGCCAAAGAAGTGACAGCTGCCAAGGACACTGGCACAACCTTATGCCAAGACAGAGCCTAGCTTTTGGACAGTCTGCATGGTTCTTTTTTGGTCTGGAGTGCTTTGTGCCTGTTTCTTTTAAAAAACTGGTGTGATGTTGATTTAACTGTGTCCATCAGAGAGACCTTCTCATGAAACAAGGCTTCCTTTTTACACAGAATAGTTTTCGCTGGCCGTTGTAGGTGCAACTGCATGTTACGATATTTGATAAAAGTTTCCCAGAGTAATCCTGAGCCCATGTGCGTACACCACTCACAGATAGATGACGGTTCTTGCAGTCGGAGTGATCAGAGATCACAGGTATTCAGCTCAGATTTGCTCTTCATGCACAGACATTCCTGCGGGTTGCTTGAATCTTTTGATCATGTATGCACCAGAGGGGCTGAAATATCCTCATCCTTTCCTGTCTTCTTTGAGCAACATTGTTTTAAAAGTTTTTCTGATTTTTTTTTTTCTTTTAATGCATTTGCCTTGAAATGCTTGGCCCGTCTTTGTTCCTACAGACCGAGGCCTTTTCTTTATACTGCTTTTGTACCAAATCATGATCACAGTCCCCTGCTGACATCATTATTCATATTTTTTTAAAATCTCATTGCTAGTCCTAAATTCACCCCATTCCCTCTTTGTTTGAAGTGCAGACCTGAGATTTACAAATACCGTTTACCATTCTGTCCCCACTTTTTCCTAGCTGGGGTTGTATACCAGGTGTCCTCACTATTAGCGGTATTTCATATTTACCTTTAGACGTAAAACGATGAAGACCATGGAAATCAAACGACACTCAGTCTGTCTTGACTGTGCAACAGCAGCATATCTTAACCTACCGCATACTGGCCAAGTCATTGACTTTAGAAATGTGTTAACATTTAAAAACTTCAATTCAATTTTTGTTTTTAAGGACCATGACATGAACAGAGGGTATATTTAGCATTTAAATAATAAACTTTCCAGTGCTTTCTGGTTTATAAAAAAAATCAGTTCCGAAATAAATTTGGGCATTTCTCCAATATAATGTCATTTAGCAGCTGAGTGCACTGATGTTAATATACGTGCAGTGTGCGCATATCAGTTGATATATCAGCACAGCCAATGAGGCGCTGTCGCTGCAGTATGTTTAATAAATGTCATACTGAGACAGTTCAGGCAGGCAGGCATCATTATATTATGTGTTATTATATTATATTCTGAAATTGGAAAGCAGTTTATCAGGATGTTCGGTGAGTGTAACTATAGAAAATAGTAAACTGTGTGTATTGGTGTCACTTTCATGTCCGTCCATTTTAACTCCTTGTGCGTCTTCTCAGGCTGTCGTTCTTCTGGGGCATCGGGATGAATTTCTACATGGAAATTGCCAAGCTGAGGGCGGCCAGGAGGTTATGGGCCACACTCATTAAAGAGAATTTCCAGCCCAAGAATGCCAAGTCTCTCCTCCTGCGCACACACTGCCAGACTTCAGGCTGGTCTCTCACTGAACAGGTAAACACAAACCATTGTACTCTAAGTTCTTGGAATGTGTAGAGACAAATTAACGAAGTTTGACATCCAGAAATCTGAACCAGTCAGAGTAACTGAACTGTCAAACTCTGTATTTGTAACTCCTGAAACAATGCCTGAGTATTAATCGAAGCTTCACCACGTGATCCCTCGTAGGATCCGTACAACAACGTGATCCGCACAGTGATCGAAGGCATGGCGGCCGTGTTCGGAGGGACCCAGTCGCTGCACACCAACTCCTTCGACGAAGCTCTGGGTTTGCCAACGGTGAAGAGCGCCCGCATCGCCAGGAACACCCAGATCATCATCCAGGAGGAGTCGGGCATCCCCAAAGTGGCCGATCCCTGGGGGGGCTCGCACATGATGGAGTCTCTCACAGACGACGTCTATAACACAGCTTTGAAGGTTTGTCAGGAGACAAAACAGGCAGCATCCGTCCACATTCATCAGATTAATGGGTTCATTAATCGTTTGTTCTTTACTTTGTGCAAGTTTTGACCTGAACTTAACCAGTTTTAAGTAATAATTTGTCCTTTTTACAGTTCATTAAAGACATTGAGGACATGGGGGGCATGGCCAGGGCTGTGGCTGAGGGCATCCCAAAACTTAAGATTGAAGAATGTGCTGCGCGTAGACAAGCCCGCATTGATTCAGGTACTTTTTCTTATTGCCTTAAAGCCTCTCATGCTTTACTCTTTTCACCCTTTTCACTTTCTTTTAGCACTTAAATCTATTAACTTACTGCTATGAAAAGTGTAGGTTAATGCAGGTTCCTATTCAAAAAGGTCACATTTCTCACTTAACGTGGCGTAATTAGTTCTAATTCTCTTTGCCATGTTGCTTTAGTTAGTTTCTGCCGTTTAAAACTTCTTGATATGACCGAATACTTTGTAGAGTTCAAGTTTTTACCTGTCAAGGTGCTGCGGGAACAAATGTTTTTGTGCAGTTGCTTATTAAATGAGCCACATAAAACTGCTTTCTGAAGCACAGATGACATCAGGTTAAAGATTCACTTTTGTCCACTAAACAATAGCCATGTGCCGTGTGGAGTTAATTAGTTTGGGTTTGTAGGTGTATTGACAGACCAATTATACAACTTTAATATCACAAGTAGCCTCACAGTAGCAGTGTCTCTGTAATTAGTATTTCAAAGCAAACTAAAGCAAATAAAGGTCGGCTGGACTGGGTTATCAGAGGCTGGTTGTATAGTATGCACGACTGTAATGAACAAAATAGAAGAAACCAGAGACAAAACTGGAAACAAAACCAATAATCTGCCAAAAAAAAACTGAGAGAAGAAGAAACAAACAAAAAGTTTGGCCATGACTTGTTTTTAATCTGGAAAGTTGTAGTTTCATGTATTCAACACATCTCATGCTGTCTGGAGACGAAGACAATAAAAAACAAGAAACGTATTGATCAGTCATATGAGTTAAATGTTCGCCATGTCAGAACTTTATTGGAAAGAGTGTGTCCATCTCTCTTTGGATGCATTTACCTCTTTTTGAATAAGTAAAAAAAAATAAATAAAGCAATCCAAAAAAAAAAAAACTTATGTTGCTAAATTAGGGAGGCGTTCTCAAATTTTGCTGTTTGAATTGACTTTTTTCTAAAGTTTTATTCAAAATGTGCATAAAATTATTGGATATTATCAACATACAGCTACTATATGTCTCCCTTAGATTTAATTCTGGCGTATCTTCACTCCCCACCACTGCATGCTCCAAAACAAAAGCAAAACAAAGATGCAATAGTTACAAAACACTCTCATCCTTAAGATTTAAATGCACAAAACAACACAATCAGCCTCAAACTTTGACTAGAAGTGGTAAACACCTCGTTCACATTGTTACTCTAATAAAGCATAACTGAAATAGAATAGATTTTTTTTGTGCAGCTCAGAGTGGTAAAACGCAGAATAATCCGTCCATTGGGGGGCTTGTTACGATCCAGCCTCTAGGGTCAGCTGGATGTAACAAGAAACCAGATGGAAATGGTTCAGGTGAAGCAATTTGTAGCTCAGTAATGTAAATGAACTGTGACAATACAAAAGAAGAGGGTGGATGTTGCTACAAATCAAAGAACCAAACGAAGGCTAACAGAGTTGCAAAGCTAGCAACCAAGAAACTAAACTCTTCAGCCAAAACCTAATAGCAACATCCACTCATAACAAAAGAAACAAACTGGTGCCTCAAAACACAGAATATGAAGACACAGGACGCGAGTAACTTCCTCATGAAGTTGTGCAGCTGCTAACAGGAGTCATCGTCTCCACTGAGACTCACTCGAAAACTCCCCACTGAGTTAGCAGCTGCCAACAGAAGCTACATGTCCACAAATTCAGAAGACACAGAACGAGAGGCACCAGGACTGACTGCTCACTCTTAACCCCAGCAGCCAGCCCTGACTGAGAGGTTGTGGTGGCTTTTATAGTCAGGTGTGGTGATTGCTGGGGTGGAGGAGGAGTGGCGGTGGTCCAATGAGACATGACCGGAGGCGGGGAGAACAAGGGCCGGAGGGCAGGTCTTTAGCTCCAGATGAATTAGCCGAGATGACTGGCAGCTGGTGTCCTGGAGCGAGCTCTCAGCCACAGCTGGGCCTGCACAGGTCATCTCCACACACAATGGTCACAAGTTCACATAACAAAACGGCACAAACATAACAAGGCTGTAGCTACGATAGTACAGGATCAACACAAAGAGACCACTCACAACTACAGCCAGCTTCGAATCAACAATTAACCTGCGTGTGTTTGGACTGTAGGAGGAACCTTGAGAAAACCCTCATTGCTTCCATTTGTCCCCGTGGATGTGCTTGTTGAGCCTTTTTGACTTCATTGACTCAAGCAGGCTGAACTCCAGCGTTGTGTGTGTTTTGCTGCGTCGTCGTGGCAGATGTGTGTGTCAGGGTGTTGTCGGCGCCGCTTCCTTTCTCTTTCCAATTTACCTTTACTTACGTCTCATAAAGCCCGAGACGACTCCTACGTGGCAGAGCGGAACCCTCACAGACTGTAGCTTTTCACAATAATCCCCATGATGCCTGCTCTCATTGATATTCATTGGCTGTCTATATCACCTTGGCAGCACATCTCTGCTGACAGGCTTGTTTTTTTCCCCTTCTCTTATGATGGATCTTGAATTCTGATTGACCGTGTTAGACACAGAGATAATTATTGGTTTGTGAAAATGGAAAGACATTTAGAATCTTGGGAAAATATATATAATTATACGCTTCCATCTTTTTTTTTTTTGGCTATTTTTTTGTAATTATTTCCAAAAATGTGCAACCACACACAGACTACAACATAGATTAGGTGTGTGCTGCTAAGCTGAGATAAGGCCAGAGAGGATGTTTGCTCGTCGGTAAGTTGCTGCTATCAGCTCTATGTTCCTTAAAGATAACAATCTTTCATACTTTCTACCATGTCGTACTCTGGAATTTGCTGCATCTCCAAAGTGCTTCTCAGACCTGTAATCTCGAGTGCATTTTTTTTTTTTTTCTTCTTTCAGTGTACTTTCTACATTCTGCGCCTGCCATTAATTGCTTTTCTGTTTGTTTTCTTTTTTTCCTTTATCTGCTCCATCTCTGTGTTGTGCTGCCTTAAAGGGGATTTCTGTTCGAACAGCGCCGCTTGTATTTCTCTTGTGCCTGAATGCCGTTTCATCCTTTTGTGCTGTCAGGATCGGAGGTCATCGTCGGGGTGAACAAGTACCGTCTGGAAAAAGAGGAGACTGTGGAGGTGCTGGCCATAGATAACACCGTCGTACGTCAGAAGCAGATTGAAAAACTGAAAAAGGTCAGTGTTGCAATTGATTTCCGGACGAATGAACGGCATCCGAAAGATAACGGTGTACAGAAAATAAATAAAATCTTCAGAAAGATTAGCGTTGCAGATAGGGCAGAAGAAAAACAAGAAATCGTTTAATTTGAATCAGCAGGGGGGGAAATAACAGCTTGAAATGATATGTTTGTGTCACGTTGCCTCCTTTCGTTTCAGGTGAGGGAGACTCGTGACCCTGAGGTGGCAAACAAGTGCCTGGCAGCCATTGAGGAGTGTGCCCAAACCAGGGAGGGCAACCTGTTAGCGCTGGCGGTGGAGGCAGCACGAGCCAGGTCCAAAACTCTTCATTTAAAGCCTGTATTCTAATCGCCGTCATGTTTCTGAGAGTGAATCATCTCTTTGCCAAGATGTTCTCGTAATACAAATGAGCTCAAGGTTACGTATCAGATGACCCGTTGCTTTGTGTAATTTTTTATTTTTATTTTTTTTAAATATATATAACTGCTACGAGATAATGTCCCTTTGTATGAGATCCTATGACGCTGTGAAAACGTCTGACCGCAGCTTGCATGGATGCGTCAAACAGTATCATGATCACGTCGGCATTTCTCTGTAAAGCTCTTTTGTTTGGGGCCAACTTGAACTACTGCTGGTCAGCCTTTCTTCACACCTGAGGCTGTCATGTGGCAGTTTGTAGCACAGTCACAACAAATCATGAGGAGCAATGTGTTTTTTTTTGCTGACAAATCCAGTTTTATTCCAATAGCTGCAGAATTAGGCGTCTTAAGATGACACACATAAGTGCACCTGTAGCTAAGGTCGTAGATTTTGTCATTTAAGCTCGCTGTATGTTGCCTTTTTGCAGCTGCTAGAATACCCAAGTGTGTTTTTGTTTTACTTAACGCGAGGACCAGTTGATCTGCACTGAAGTTTTTTTTTGCCCCCCGGGGTTATTAAATAATCATTGATTTGACAAGCAGGTCACATGTGAAATTAGGTTGTGTTTGGTGTATCTAATGTTATCAAATGTACTTTGCGCTCTGTATGTGAGGCCTACACTCATGTGGACTTCTACCCTGAAGACAAGAAGGATGTGACAGCGTTAGTTGTTATTTTTTTTAAACTAAACTGTACCATATCATGTGAAGTCCACATGCTGATCATGGATTTACTGCCTCATATCAAAACTCCCTCAGTCAGCTATCACCACTTAAACACCCCATGCTGCCCTACGACCTTCAGTCCGTCTCTGTAAGAAACGCTGAAGACTCTCACTGAAGTGGCTCAGTGTTTACAGTTCGATAGCTGAGTTACATTTAAAACTACTAATCTGTTGCTGTGTTGTTACCCGCTCTGCATCAGAGACGTTGTGAAATATCAGACAGTCGAGCAATAAAAATGTAAAAACTGTCATGAAAATTCAAGGAAATTAGCTCTAGACTAGACTGTGGAAACATATTGAGGATTCTGCTCCTTTCTTTAGATGCTCCGTTGGCGAAATAACCGACGCCATGAAGAAGGTGTTTGGTGAACACAAGGCCAGCACCAGGATGGTGAGCGGCGCCTACCGCAGTGAGTTTGGAGAGCATGAGGAGATCGCCGTGGCCCACAGCAGGTAAAAACAATCCGCTTCAAAATGTGTAGACTGATTGCTTGACACATGCGGTTATTTTATTTATTTCCTCCTCAAAACCAACAGAGTTACAGATTTTAAGAAGCACGAAGGCAGGAATCCTCGACTGCTGGTGGCCAAGATGGGGCAGGACGGCCACGACAGAGGAGCCAAAGTCATCGCCACAGGGTTCGCCGACCTCGGCTTTGATGTAGACATTGGGCCGTTGTTTCAGGTGAGAGAAATGGAACTACACTGACTACATTATACCTGTGGTACATAGCAGGCTTCATGTGGGGGAAGGAACTCTACCCAGAACCTACCTTTTAACCAAGAGCTGCCCATATAAACTGCTTGAGAAAAATACTTAACTTGCATTTGAACAGGTGAGTTCAGTCCTTGTAAAATATGCAATATTGCAAAAATGATAAAGCCAGGGTAAAAGTTCATGGATAGACTTGAAAATATACTTTTTACTTTTGGAGACCAGGGATCTTATATATCATCGGTGTGTAGAAAAGGTTCTAAATTCTGTCGTACGCATGAAATTTAGAGTGTGTGTACGTACAAAAAAAATCCGTATTTATCAAATGTACGTACGGGGGTCGTACATACATCAGTGTTGATAAATCCCACTTGTGTTTAACCCCTGTGCTCGTGCACGTTGCCCTCAGAAACGCCTCCAAATCTTTTATAAAGCAAATGAAGATTTATTTTTTCCTCACCTGTCATCATTATCGTGGCAAAAAGGGCGAAGAAGAGGAACTTTTATGAAACTGAAAGTCAGCGAGGTTGAAGCATACCAGAAAATATTGTTTGATGCGTGAAATGTTGGGATAAGCAGCGAAAGAAAAAATGTTGCATTTAATAACCTCTGACCCAACAGGAATAACCACCGCAGTTATTCCTGTTGGGTCAGAGGAGAGATCGTCGGCAGTTTTTAAAAAAAAAAACCATAAAAGAGAAATGACTGCAACGGGAGCAGGACGAATTAATACCAAACGTTCACCCAGCGCATAACCCTGATCACCTACAGATGAGATGTTTTACTATGTCCAGCTAAAACATTTCCACACTTTGTAATACTAACCAATAAGCCAGCCGTCTTCAACAGCTCCTGCTTGGAGACGCACAGAGCTGGTGATGTGGGTTTAGTAAATCTCATGATTATAAAAGACATCATGGCAACTAAATCTGAGACAGAGCAGCAGCACATTTCCTGGGTCAAACATCCATCCATCCATATACACCGCTTAATCCTCACTAGGGTCGTGGGGGGCTGGAGTCCATCCCAGCACACTCACATTCACACCTACGGACAATTTAGAATCACCAATTAACCTCAGCATGTTTTTAGACTGTGTGAGGAAGCTGGAGAACCCGGAGAGAACCCACGCTGCACGGGGAGAACATGCAAACTCCACACAGAAAGATCCCGGGTGTCCTCACCGGGATGCTTCTCTGTTTAATGATCAGGCTTAAAAAAATACAACGTAATCTGACCTGATGGAGAAAAAAAAAAAAAAAAAAGCTTAAAGACAGCTGTAGCTCTCTGTGTACTTAAATATAGTCTCCAGCACACTCACTGA